AAAATTGCTGGGAGGTATTACCCCGTTACAGCCTACCATTGGTTTAGCTACTCACGAGCTAAGTAACTGACTCCAAACCTTACAGGGTGATAAGGACTTCAATAGTCCAAGAACGTTATCAACTGAAGCTGGAAAGGAATTGGCTCTGGTAGAAAGGAAATTACAAGATGCATATATAGACCATATTGATCCAAAGACAGCCTGTATTTTGGTTATCTTGCCATCCACTCATTATCCTACAGGATTTCTTATGCAGAGGGAGGACTATGTCTTAGAATGGATATTTTTGGCACACAAACAAAATAAAAAAATTAAAAACCTATATAGAAAAGGTTTCTGAATTGATCCTAAAAGGAAAAATGAGATTTCGTCAATTGGCTGGAATAGATCCAGCTGAAATTGTGGTGCCCTTTACCAATGCTGAGGTTGTATCATTATGGGCAGACAGCGAATATTGGCAAAGAGCTTGCTGTGAGTTTTTGGGAGAAAACAACAGATACCCCAAAAGCAAGCAACTTCAGTTTATAAAAAGAACCAACTGGATTTTCCCTCGTATAGTAAAAGGAACTCCAATTTCTGGAGCTCCCACATTTTATATGAATGCCAATAAATCAAAAAGGGCAGGTAATAAGTTAGAAAATCTGAGTAAAGTGGTGGATAGTCCTAATGATTCAGTTAAAAAAATGAGAATTACATGCAATTCTTTTGGTGCTATCAGATTTTCAAGAATCTCTTAATATAGTCACTGACTGTCAACATGCAGAAAGAGTTCTGCATATAGAAACTGTTGATCTAATTCAGGATAATTCAGACTTAACTTCACTGTTCCTTCAATTACAACAAGTAATCAGAAATAGAAATAATCCATTATATATAACACATGTCAGATCTCATACAGGTTTACCAGGTCCTCTAGCACAAGGCAATGATGAAGTTGATCAACTATTGATAGGAAGTGTGTTAGAGGCCTCAGAATTTCATAAAAAACACCATGTTAACAGCAAAGGTTTAAAAAAAGAGTTTTCTATCACTTGGCAACAAGCCAAAGAAATTGTGAGAAAATGCCCCACTTGTTCTTTATATAGCCAAACTCCACTACCTGCAGGAAGTAACCCTAAAGGTAACCAAAGAAATGAAATTTGGCAAATGGACGTCTTTTATTTTACAGAGTTTGGTAAACTGAAATATGTGCACCATACTATAGACACATATTTAGGGTTTCAACGGGCAACAGCCTTAAGTTCTGAAAAGGCTGATTCAGTTATTACATATTTATTAGATGTGTGATGGCAGTTATGGGTATTTTAAACAAATTAAGGTTGATAATGCTACAGCGTATGTCTCTAATAAAATGGAAGGATTTTTTTACATATTATAAGATGAAGCATGTCACAGGTATACCTCACAATCCTACTGGTCAAGCAGTCATTGAAAGATCCAATCATACTTTAGGAACATGCGTAACAAACAGAGAGGGGTATCAAAGACTCCCAGAGATAGATTACATAATGCTTATTGACCTTAAATTTTTTTCTTTTGGAAAACAAAAAATAACAATTTATTAAAATTAACAGTTTTAGGAAAACATTGACACTTATAATAAAATTTACTACAGAACATGAATATTTTCTTTGAAATAAGTTGATATCATAGTAGCAAGAACATAGCAATTCAGAGTGAACTATATTCTTTCAATACTTTTATTTTCTGCTAATCATAGCTCAAACAATCATTATTTTTTCTGAAATAATGATTTTATAGAATTGATATATATATATCAACCTGCAAGATATTTATTGTACATCCATCTTTTTATTTTTTTAATATTAGTTACAGTTTATTAACTTTGTATCCCAGCCGTATCTCGCTCCCTGATTCCCTCCCAACCCCACGCTCCCTCATCTTCTCCCTACCCCTTTCCAAGTCCACTGATAGGGGAGGACGACCTTAAATTTCTTAAATGTTAATGAACAAAAAACAACAGCTGCAGAGAGACAGTGGGTTATAGAAAAAACTGCCAAATTATTTCAGCCTATATATTTCAAAGATACCCTAACTTCACAATGGAGAGCAGGGAATGTCTTACGCTGGGGAAGAGGTTTTGTGTATATTCATACAAGAGAAGAGAAATTATGGGTTCCTTCAAAACTAATAAAAATCAAATATGACAGAGGAAGACCACCTGTAGGCCACAACATAAGAAGAGAGAAATCAAGAAGACCAAATAGAACAGGTAACATAAATTGATAATCCCTTCACATAGGAACAACTCTAAAACTGACTGAGACATAAAATATATTTCCAGCCAGAGTCCAACAGTACATGGTCAATAAATCCTTGGCTATAATATCCTCAAAATTTATTATGGCATTCTTTTAATTGGCATAGATAAATTGGTTTACAGTTTAATTTCATCCTGAACATCTCATACATTTATAATTTTAGAACTGTATAATGCTTGTGAGAAACTATGTTTGCAGAACAAAAGGAGCAGACACTGAAAGATGCTGGATCAAACCTGACAGAATCCTCCTTCCAGCATGCTGAGACATTGACACATCTATTCCAGCATCTTGCATGTTCCAGCATTCTGCTTGTTCCTGCCTCAACTGCTTCAGTTGCTGTTTCTCATCAAAGCCTGCTCCCAAGAGAGCTTTGAAAAAAGCTTCTAATCTCAATTGGTCCAGCATTTTAGACTGTTCTAAAAAAGACTTCTATTAAGCCTGAAATTTCTCAACATTCAAAGACTGGACTACAAATGTTATTGTTTGCTTAATTAACCATTTTTCCCCCAATTTTCTTTGGGCTCCCTAACAAGATTTCTGCGTGTTCAAAATGTCAGCCAGAAGAAATCCATGAGAATGATGTCCAATTTTCCTTAAGGGGGGTTGGGTAGGTTTTTGGTTGTTTTCTGTGGCTATGAATGTTTACTGTTACTGGGAAATAGTTATAAATAGGAATTTCTCTATTTTCCTTTTTCTTTTCTCTATCTTTCTTTCTTAGATAAGGAGAAAGGGGGTTGAAAAGAAAGAATAATAAGACAAAAGGTAGATTATTGAATCTACTCAATTTAGGTTTTTATTTGTTATTCTCAAATAAGGTTAATTTTAACTCTGGTATACTATTTTGTATATACAAAAATAAGTATTTTTGATACATTGGTATAAGTTTTAGCATATTGATACAAATTCAAGGTTACTTCCAACACTTTTAAACTGCTATTAAAACTGTTTAGGATATTAGGTAATGCTAGTTAATCATCTCAGAGTCATGTCAGACACTAGTCTAATTTATCACAGGAGTATACATCCAGGGTTTAACAGATAGATATGATTATGTAGCAGACTCATTACATAAAGATAGGTAGTCTTCAAAAACTTCAGAGACCTACAGAATATGGCATTTTAAAATGTCTTTATTACTTTAAAGATTCTTTGACAATGAGAAGGTCATCTCCTGGCAGCACCCTGCCTACCTCAAAGAAGATGATAAGCATCAAAGAACTTCCATACAGAGATGACTTCAAATGTGGCAAATGAGCCAGCTGGGTAAAGAAAAGACCCTCGTTTCACGACAGACAAATTCTGCCAAAAATGGGCAAGTTTAAGTGCAGGACAAGTTGACTGCTGAACTCTGCCAAGACAGGGTAAGCAAGTCCTAAATAGTTCCTGCTTCACATTTATGTCTGTCAAATATTCTAAGCCAGAAGGCTGAAGATGATGCTCCAACATTATAGAGAGTTTTGGGTGACTGTTCAGGCAACAAACTGTCCCTGTTAATTTTTTTTTTTTTTTGAAGCTGCTAACATGCACTTCCTATTTACTCTAGTAACTAATTTTATTCCTTCTCAAGTCTCTGGTGGGGTTGAAGACCAAATAGTTATAATTCCACAATTAAGCTTAAGTTGTTTAGAATTTAAGAAAATGTTTTCATTTAGGTAATACCAATAAAAATAAAAGTTAATTTAGGTATAGAACTCTAAGCTTGTCAAGATAGAATAGATAATCAAATGCTTTCTCCTAAGTTGCCAAATTCCCATGGACTGGCCATTGCACATGTAAATTTTACCTAATAGTTTCCATGATTTTATAATTATTGTTGTACTGAAAGAAAAGGAACCTTTTATTGGACTTAAAGGGGAAAATGTTGGTATAATGTTCTTTTGGAATGTATGTAATTTACCTTTGTTCATTCAAATGCTGATTTCTCTCCCCCACTATCTGGTTTCAATCCGGACATTGCACTGTGATGTTTATTCTAAGCATCACCTGTCTCAAGTTTGTGTAAACATGCCACCATTTGATCTCTGTATTGTCAATTAAACAACAGCCCCGATGCTGTGCAATGGAGTGGATAGGGTGGGACATCCTGGTCGGGAGGGGAGAGAGAGGAAGCAGGCCGTGAGGAGGGATGAACCGGACCTAAGATATGACTAAAAGCAAGTGTAAAGTGGGAAATCTGGAGGGTAGGAAACTATGCGGGCTTGGAGGTTTGGGATGGAGTAACTGTTGCCCAGCCTTGTCCTCGAGGTTAATTAAATAAATCTCAGTCTCTGTGTGGTGATTCGGGTATACAGCTGGATTAGGAACAACTGCTGATTAAGTAAAAGAGACATCAATAATAAATGTTAATCACGCCAACGTGTGTCTATGTGTTCACGTATGTACATGTGAATATATGTAAATTAACGTGTATACAATGTACACGTGTCTGTTTGTGTTTACCTGTGTGCATCCATGTTCCTGCATATATTTGCCTACGCGTTTGAACATGTATGTGTGTCCATGTGTCCATGAGTATTTATGTGTCCATGTATGTAGTCATTTTTGTGTACATGTCTATATGTATGTACATGCATATGCTAACGTGTGAATGCATGTATTTATGTGTGTACAACTATACATTAATCTTACATGTGTACACGTGTAATTAAACGTGTTTGTGGTTCGGTTTTGGTTTTTCAGGACAGGGTTTGGTGGCCCAGGGAGCAGCAGGAAACCATGGCAGGCTCGGCGGCTGCTCGGGCTCGGCTCTGTGCCTGGGGAGTGAGGGCCCTGCGAGGCCGAGGCTTCCGTTCAGACGTGCTTGAAAGCGTGGAGTCGGGCGCGGGCTCCATCCGAGAGGCCGGCGGGGCCTTCGGGAGGAGGGAGAAGGCTGAAGAGGATCGGTACGTCCGAGAGATGACCAAAATACAGCTGGCTGCCCTGAGGCAGCACCACGAGGACGAGATTGTCCACCACAAGAGGGAGATTGAGCGGCTGAAGAAACAAATCGAGCGGCATCAGGAGAAGCTAGCCAGACTGACGGATAACCAAAAGTGAGCGCGGCCCCTCACGGGACGGCCCGCTCCATTCCCGCGCTTGGTCTGTGTGCTCCGAACGGATAATAAAGCGCCAGTAAAAAAGGAAGCAAAACCACCGTATCTCCGCAGCCCTGGCTGGCCTAGAACCCCCGTCCACCAGGCTGGCCTCCAGCTTAGAGCGCCGCCTGCCCCTGCCTTGGGAGTGCTGGGACTAATGCGTACCTTTGTATAACTTATTTTTGCATGTGTTTATTTATGTGCATACATAAGTGTGTTGTGTGTGTACATGTGTATGTTTAATATTGTGTGTTCCATTTGTGTGCGCATCTTTGTGTGAACATGTGCATATTTATGTGTATGTATGTTTCCTTGTATGTATATGTGTATGTATGTTTGTGCACATTTTTGTGTATCTATGTCTACATGTGTGTATTTAGGTGCATGCATGTGAGCACGTAGATATATATCTTTGTGTGTAAATGTGTGCATATGTATAGTTCCCTGTGTGTACATGCATGCATGTATGTAAGTGCAAATGTGAATGATTATGTGTATCTACATGTTTGTTACACGTGTGTGCACATGTGTATTTTTATGAGTACATGTGTATATTTATAGCTACGTATATCTATGTCTGTGTACTTGTATATTTTTATGTATTTGTCAGTTTTTGGATATTTAAGTATAGTCACATGTATACATTTATGTATGTGCATGTGAACGCGTACACAAGTACATACATATATTCCTGCATGCATATTTTAATGTTTATGTGTGTGCAAATGTCCATGTTTATATGTGTACATGTTTATATGTATTTACATGTCTATATTTGTGAGTATGTGTCTGTGTTTTTTGTATGTTTGTATTTTATATGTTCATCTGTGTGTTTATGCCTGTGTGTATACATCTATCTATTTCTTGTGCCTACGGAGACCCATCGTCCCCCTCAGTCCTGTATCTATGCATAATCTCCGCAGTTATCAAAAACTGTGGTTATCATCTAACATACAAATATGAGAGAATAATACTGATTTGTCTTGGGGGGCTGGGTCTTTTTCTAGCTTCATCCATTGACTTGCCAATTTCACAGTTTCACGGAATGTTTTAGCAGCTGAGTAATATCTGCATAAATGCATAAATCCACATTTTCTACATTCATTCATCAGTGGACACCTAGCATGTTTCTACGTTCTGGCTGTGAGGGCTAGAGCACCAGTGAACATAGCTGAGCAAATGTCTCTGCAGTAGAGTCTGTGCCTTTGGGTACATTTGGATCTTGAGGTAATAATTGATTCCCAGCTTCCGAGGAACTTCCACACTGATTTCTGTAGTGGCTGTGCAAGTTTGTACTCCTAGCAACGATGAGTGTGCCCTTACCCTGCATTCTCATCATCGTGAGCTGTCATTTGTTATTGTTTTGTTTATTATTGATCTTGGCCATTCTGACTGCTATATGATGGAATCTCAAAGTAGTTTTGATTTACAGTTCCCCAATAACTGAGGATGGTGAACATTTCTTTAAGTGTTCATAAGCCATTTGTCCCCCCCCCCTTTTTTTTTTTTTTTAAGAATTCTGGTTAGCTGGGCGTGGTGGCACACGCCTGTAATCCCAGCACTCAGGAGGCAGAGGCAAGTGGATCTCTGTGAGTTTGAGGTTAGCCTGGTCTACAAAGAGAGTCCAGGACAGCCAGGGTTCTGTTCCACAGAGAAACTCTGTTTTGAAAAACAAAACAAAACAAAACAAATCTGTTTAGACATGTACCCCGTTTTTAAATTGGGTTATTTGTTTTCTTGATGTTCAGGGCTTTTTTGTTTGTTTGTTTTTGTCTTTAGTTCTTTATATATTTTGAACGCTAGCCCTCTTTGGATTTGTAGTTTGTAAAAAGGTTTTCCCATTCTGTGACTGTTTTCTTTGTCCCAATGATAGTGTCTTGTGCCATACAGAAGCTTTTCAGTTTCATGAACTCTCATTTATCAATTGTTGTTCTTAGTCCTGTGCTGTCAGTGTTCTGTTCAAAAAGTTCTTTCTGCTGGGTGGCAGTAGCACATATGCCCTTAATCCCAGCATTCGGGAGGCAGAATCTCTGAGTTTGAGGTCAACCTGGTCTACAGAGTGAGTTCCAAGACAGCCAGAGCCACACAGAAAAACCCTGTCTTGACAAACTAAAAAAAAAGTCCTTTTCTGTGCCCAAGTGATTTGAAAAGTCCTCCTCACTTTCTTTCTCTTCTGCCAGATTCAGTGTATCTAGCCTTATGTTGAGGTCTTTTGTGCACAGTAATAAGTACAGTTCTATTGGCACTCTTTTCCATGCATGTGTCCAGTAAGACCATCTGTTGAAGATACTGTCCACCCCATCCCCTGTGTATTTTTGGGTAATTAAAAAATGTGGTATCCATGCGTATGTGGACTTATATCTAGGTTTTCAATTGAATTCCGTTGATCAATGTGCCTATTTCTATGACAATACCATGCTGTAATTATTACCATAACTCTGCAATAGAATTTGAGATTAGGGATGGTGATACCCTTAGCAGTTCTTTTATTGTACAAGATTGTTTTAGTTATCCTGGGTCTTTAGTGTTTCAGTATAAAGCTGAAAATTGTCCTTTCAAGTCCTGTGAATATTGTTGGAAATTTGATGAGGTATTGCATTGAACCTATATATTACTTTTGGTAGGGTGGCCATTTTTAATATATAAGTCAAACTGATCCACAAGCATGGGAGATTTTTCCATCTTCCAATATTTTCTTCAAATTCTTTATTCAATATCTTAAAGGAGTTTTTCACCTCCATGTTTACAGTTAGCCCTATAATGTTGTTGTGGTTTTTTCTCCCCGTATCAAGATCCCAGAATAATGACTCATGAGACTCAGAATATATTTACAAATACCCAGGCCATATAACTAGGCTCTTCTCTGACTAGCTCATAACTTAAAATAACCCATTTACACTAATCTACATTCTGCCACATGGCTAGTTACCTCTGCTCAGGTACTATGTATCTGTCCTCCTTACATCTTTATGAATGAACCACCTGTGCCTGGCTCTATCCCAGATCCTTTCTGCCTGCTGGATGTCTACCTTCCATTCTACTCTTTCCTATAGGCAATATGTTTAATGTTTTTTTTTTTTTAATTGACAGGTGATGCTTCCATACAGGCAGAAGCTTTTTGAGGCTATTGTGAAAAATATTGTTTCCCTGATTTGTTTTTCAATTCATTTGTCACCTCTATATAGGAAGGCTACTGTTTTTTGCATATTAATTTTGTACCCTTCTATTTTTCTGAAAGTTGTTATCAGCAGGAGGAGTTTCCTGATAGAATTTTTAGGGTCACTTATATGTACAATCATATCATGTGCAATTTAAGGTACTTTTGGCTTCTTTCCTTCCTGTTGGTATCCACTTGACCTCTTAGCTAAAGCTAAGATGTCAAGTACTTTATTGAATAAGTATGGAGAGAATGGAAACCTTGTCTTGTTCCTGATTTTAGTAGAAACACTTTGAGTTTCTCTCCATTTAGGTTGATGCTGACTATGGGCTTGCTGTAAATTGCCTTCATTATGTTAAGGAATTGTCCTTGTAATCTCTCTAGTCACTCTAGGACTTTTATCAGAAAAGGGTGTTGGGCCTTTTCTGCATCTCATGTGGATTACATCTATCAATTTACATATGTTGAACTATTCTTGAATCTCTGAGATGAAGCCTACTTGATAATGGTGGATTTAAAAAAAAGTTTTTATTTTGTTTGCAAATATTTGATTGGGAAATTTTGCATCTCTGTTATAAAAGGGAAATTGGTCTGTACAGCTCTTTCTTTGTTGGGTCTTTATGTGGTTTAGGTATCAGGAAAACTGTGACATTGTAAAAAGAATTGTACAAAGTTTCCCCTGTTTCTGTTTTGTGGGATAATTTGACAAGTATTGACATTAATTCTTTAAAAGTCTGGTTGATTTCTGCCCTTAAACCATCTCACCTTGGGCTGGTTTTGGTTGGGAGACTTAATTACTGCTTGTATTTACGTAGGGCTTATAGATCTGCTTAAGCTGCATGTCTGATCTTGATTTAACATTGTTAGGTGGTACATACTAGGAAAGAATCCATTTCCTTTAGAGTTTCTAGTTTGTTAGAGTACAGGTTTTAAAGCACATCAAGATAATTTTCTGGATTTCCTCCATGTCTATTTTATGACCCTCTCCTGGTCCCTAATTTTGTTAAGTTGGATCTTCTCCTTCTGCCTTTTACTTGTCAATCTTATTGATTTTCTCAATGAACCAACTAGTTGTTTCATCAAATATTTGTATTGGGGGGGTTGTTATTTGCTTCTTCTTGGTTTTTTTTTTCATTGATTTCAGCCCCAAGTTTGATGATTTCTTGTCATCTACTCCTTTTGAGTGTTATTACCTCTTTTTGTTCTAGTGTTTTCAGGTGCCCCACTATTTACTAATGTGAGGTAGCTAGGGATTTTTGTTTTTTTCTTTAATGCAGGCAGTTAGTGCTATGAATTTGCCCCTTAGAACTGCCTTCATTGTGTACCATAAGTTTGGGTATTGTATATTTATTCTCATTCAATTCTAAGAAGTCTTTAATTTCTCTTGTAATTTATTTCTTGACTTTTTTTTTAATCTAGTAGTGATTTTTTTTTATTTCCATGAGTTTGTAAGCTTTCCGTTGTTTCTGTTACTGTTGATATTTAGCTTTAATTTGTGGTTTTCAGATAGAATGTGGGGTGTTATTTAAATTTTCTTGTATCTGTTGAAGCTTGATTTATGTCTAAGTATATGGTCAATTTTGGAGAAAGTTCCATAAGGTGTTGAGAAAAAGGTATATTCTTTTGTGTTTGGGTGTTGTGGTAGTTTAGACAAGGATGCTTCCCAGTAGTTTATGTATTTGACTGCTTAATTACAAGGGAGTAGAACTGTTTGAAAGGATTAGAAGGATTTGGCGGTGTGGCCTTGTTGGAGAAAGAGTGTCACTGAGGGTGGGTTTTGGTGTTTCAAAAAAGCCCATGCAAAGCAACCCTCCCTACATTCTGCCTATGGATCAGGATGTAGCTCTCAGCTATTTCTGCAGCAGCATCTCCACCCATGCTTCCTGCTACAATGATAATGAACTAAACCTCTGAAACTGCAAGCAAGCCCTAATTAAATGCTTTCTTTTGTCAGAGGTGCCATGATCATGGTGTCTCTTCACAGCAACGGAACAGTGACAAAGACAGGTGAAGTACACCATAAATATCTGTTAGGTCAGTTGGTTTTTGATGTCAGTTAGCTGCAGCATTTCTGCTCAGTTTTTGTCTGCACAACCTGTCTATTGGCAAGAATGGGGAACTGAAACCACCCACTATGACTGTTGGAGGGTCAGTATGTGATTTTAGTTGTAGTAGCATTTCTTTTCTGAATTTGGGTGCCCTTGTGTTTGGTGCATAGGTGTTTAGGGTTGCAATATCTTCTTGGTGGAAGTTTCCTTTGCTGAGGATAGTGTGTCTTTCCTTATCTCTCTTGATTAGTTTTTGTTTGAGGGTTGTTTTGTAAAATATTAAAATGGCGACACCAGCTTGCTTTTCGGTCCTTTTACTCGGAATATTTTTTACATCTTTTTAGTTTGAGGTGGTGTCAATCCTTACTGTTCAGGTGTGCTTCTTGGATGCAGCAGAAGAATGTATCTTTTGTTCTTATCCAATCTTTTAGTCTGTGTCTATTTATTTGGTATTGAGACTATTGATATTGAGACTTATCAATGACTAGTATTTGCTGGTTCCCATTATTTTATTGAGGCGTAGGTACCTCTCCCCACTTTGATTTACTGGGCTGAGATTATTTATTCCTTGTGTTTTCTTGGTGGTGGCTAAACTCTTCAGTTTGACTTTTTCTTCTAGTGTCTTCTGTAGTGCTTGATTTGTAGACAGAGACTGCTTAAATTTAGTTTTATCATGGAATGTTTTCCTTTCTTCATCTACTGTGATTGAAAGTTTTGCAGAACTGGCTGGTATTTTTAGTCTTCTCATATTTCATAGCACATCTGTCCAGGACTTTCTGGCTTTTAGAGTCTTTATCGAGAAGCTAAGTGTTATTCCAGTGAGTCAGCCATTATATGTTATTTGGTCCTTTTCTCATGTAGCTTTTAATATTCTTTCTTTGTTCTGTTCACTTAGTGTTTTGATTGTTATGTGTCATGGAGAATTTCTTTTCTGGTCTAGTATATTTGGTGTTCTGTATGGTTCTTGTACCTCGATAACACCTCCTTATTTAGATTAAGGAAATTTTCTTTTATTTTTTTTGAGACAGGGTTTCTCTGTGTAGCCTTGACTGTCACACTACAGACCAGACTGGCCTCAAACTCACAGAGATCCTCCTGCCTCTGCCTTCCAAGTGGTGGGACTAAAGGTGTGCACTACCACCACCTGGCTAAAGAAATCTGCTTCTATGATTTTGTTGAAAATTTTACTATGGTTTCTTGTTCTTTTATTCCTATTATTCATAGACTTGGTATTTTCATAGTTTCCCAGATTTTTCTGAGTGTTTTGTGCTTGGATTATTTTTTAGATTTAACATTTTCTTTGAATGAGTATCTGTTTCTTTTATCTTGTCTTTAGTGCCTGAGATGCTCCTTTTCATCCCTTATATTCTGTTCACTTGTTAGACTTGTTTCTGAGTTCCTGTTCAAGTTCCTAAATTTTCCATTTCTGATTTCATCTCAGTTTTGGTTTTATTTTTTAGTGATTCTATTCCCAGTTTCACGTCTTGTCTTAAACAGTCTTCTTCATTTCATTCCATTGCTTCTGTTTTTATATATTATTGGATTCCCTCATAGCCTCTTTAAGGTCCTTGAATATATTCATAATAGCTATTTGGAGTTCTTGTGCTATGCTTCAGCTCTGTTGTGTTTCTCAGGGCCTACCAGTAGCGTTCCTGGGCCCTGGTGGTAGCATATGGTCCTGCTGTCATTGATTTTGTTTTAACACTGGCGTGTAGGCGTCTGGGTTTAAGATTGGTGATTGTAGGTGTTGATATCTGATCTTGTCTTTCTTGAGTGGGTTTTCTGTTCTTGGCTTCTGTTGCCTTCTCTGGATCTTAAGAGAGTGTGGTGGTTGTGGGTTGCCTGGTAGGGAATGCTGCTGAGCCCTTGCTGGGCGTGGTCATTGGGGGTTCCAGATAGAAAGTGTTTCTAGGTCTTGGAAACTGCAGAAAGAATATGGATGAGCTAATAAGGCTGGTGTTGGTGAAAGGGTCCACAGGAAGGTGAAAATCTGGGTATAACAAGATGCTGAGGGTAGTCCCCTGGGAATGGTGGCAGCGAGGAAGGAGAGGCTGCAGAAGGTGGTCTACAAAAAGGTAGGGGTAAGACTTGGTGCGGTTAGAATTGGAGGACAGGAGGGAGAGTGAAAATGCCTACCGGATTCCATGGTGAGCATGGGTGGGTCAGGTTTCCAGGGAGTGCTTTCTGGTGTTGTCAGCTGAGACAAAGGGGAGGGATGCTGAAGGAGACTATCTGCCAGTCCCCTCGGTGTGGGGCAGAGAAGAAGGAGAGGTCACAGCAGATGGTCTGCTGTGAAGTTTGGGATAAGACTGGGGCATTGGAATTGGAGGACATGAAGGAGAATGAAGAACACCTAGCTGATTCTGGAATCTATTCTTCATAAATTTTTAAAATTCTCATTGCCTCTTTTGCTATTCCAGATGAACTATGGGAACTGTCTTAGTTATGTTTTCTATTGCTGTGTGTCCACAGAAACTCTTACAAAGGAAAGCATTTAACTGGAGCTGGCTTACAGCTCAGAGGCTTAAGGTTTAGTCTTATCCTCATGGCAGCATGCAGGCCGCCATGGTGCTGAAGGAGTTGAGAGTTCTACATCTTGATCCAAAGGCAGCAGGAAGAGTCATTAGGCCCACTAGGTCTGGCTTGAACTTCTGAGACCTCTAAACCTTCCTCTACTGATGCTTCCTCCAAGACCACACCTACTCCAACAAGGCCACACTTCCTAAGAATGCCACCCCCCCTGTGAGCTGATGGGGACTATTTTCTTTTAAGCCACCACAGAAATCATTATAAATGTCCCAAGAGACATGTCTTCATCATTTCTTCCTTCCTTTATTCTTTCTTCTGTTGGAAATAAGGTAATAACAAACTCACGAGACAGTAAAAATGAAGCAGTTTTTGTTATATAATTCCAGGGAAAGGGTCACTGGTATAGAGAAAAAGTAAAAAATGGCCTGTGGGGTACTGATCTAGAGCCAGACAGTAAATTTAAAATCCTACGACTAGGGGAAGTTTCTGTTCTCTTCTCCTACAGGCCAGAAGTTGCATCCTCCCCTAACTCCTCATATCTTGTTGGCCTAGGACACAAAGCCCCACCCATTGAATAATTTAGCACTTAAGGTTGCCATCCCCCTTTTCCTGGGCTCAGTCACATAGACCTTTCTAAATCTCAGAGTCCTGAGACAAGCAGGTGCAACTTAAGAACCCATCACATCAAAAATGGACCGCAACGATCCACTTCTTACCCCTTCCTTTCTTTTTTTCTTTATTGATTGTCTATCTTGTCTATCTCAAGTTGGTCTTGAATAAGTTCTGTAGTACAAGAAACCAGTAAAGTAAAACAGGACCACTGCTGGATAAGGGAGTTGAGGTGCAATAAAGAAAGGGAATAGCAGTGATCTTATCTGGGGAAAAAGAGGCTCTTTTGGCAGTGGAAGGGAAGTAAATGAAGAAGGAGGAAGGCAAAAAAAAAATATTTGAAAAAGCAACAAGGGACCATATTATTATTAAATATGTGTTCCTTTGACAGTACACACAATTCTTTGCATGAAGGCACATACAGAGTTTAAATAAGGTTTTCTCATCTAGGCAGATGGTGTTCCCTTCAAGAGCCAAACACTACCTGACTAAACCAGATACCGGACCTGGGAAGCCCTCTTGAGTTGTTGGCGAGGGCTGTCCAAGAAACTTCCAAAATATACATATACTTCCAAAATATATCCTATTGCTATAGCACTAGGCTGCCCCCCCTCCCGTGACATTATGTTCCTGTTGCTGAAGACAACATGTACTTCAGAATGAGGGCCCAGAGACCCCTGAGCTGGAAGTGACCTGAAGGACCAGTTAAAACGTGAATGTGTTCATGTGTGCTTTCAAACAAATTTGCAGCTTTTGTAAAATTAGCCAGTTTCCTTGTATTGACACCATCTGGAACACTGCAAGGTGCCATACTATCTTTTGAATTAGGTATGTAAAGAAGACAGACTAGATGGTTATTTAGCTTTTATTCATGACATTTGAATTCTTAAGCTCACACAGAAATTTATTTCATAAATATTCTTTAGATTTATCTAGCTCTTTTAATTGATTTAATTATGTTAGTCTACTTTCTGACAAACTTAACTGAATCACAAGTGGAACAAAAATATAGTTAACATTTTTCAGATGTACTTAAAAAAGAGACAGGAAAACTTTGAAGGCAGATCACTAGAAGCTAGTAAACAGCTTGCTTCATTAGAAAATGAATCATCCTTTATGTTACACAAATCTTTATATATCATTGAAAATATTTTACCCATATTTAATACCTGCCCAGAGGAAAATAGATTGCTATAAAGGAGTTTTTTTGTTTTTTTTTAATAAACATTTTAAAAACCAGGAAAAAAAAATCATTACCTCTAAAATATACTTTGTTTGGCTAATTTTAGACAGGAATCACTAGTTTATTTAAAGCCAAAATATCAGAGCTAGAATGACAATACTATCCAAATGATGCCTCTGGCATTTCTTGAAGACACGCTTTTTCTTTTTCTTAGCATGGTATCCTTTAGGCTAAGGGACTATTAGAAGTGACATGCTTCCAACAGTGACAATGGGCTGGGTAAATGGTGGACTGGTAGAAACTGAATTCCTTAATTTTTTTCAGCTAAGGAAAATTTAAACCAAACCCAAACAGTTGTGTTATGATGAAAGGTGTTACACATAGGAAGAAAGGAAACTTAGAACAGTTAAGATAACTTAGTTAAAGATTTCCATACAGTCAACTGAAATAAGAACATCCAAAGATTTCTTATAGCCAGGACTATTAAAAAAAAAAAAAAAAAGGGTCTGGAGAAGATATAATTTATCAGTTCACAGTGTGTAATGTCTGTGACACAGACACAGGGAGAGCTTTTGAGTTTATAGCTCAACCATAGAAATGCTAAATGGCAAAACTTCTGAGGGGGTGCCTTCATTGGGATGATTCTGAAGGAAGTCTTCATGTTTTTCACTAGTGTGCGAGTAAAGCTGTTGTTATTAACCATTTGCTACCACTGACTAGTCTCTGGACCTTTCTAGGTAGAGGCATGAAACAAAGGCTGGAGCTCAAAAGGACTATTTGGCTTGGGTTGGAAGGAAGGTTTCAAAGGCTGTCAAGTTTCAGTGGGTTCTACAGAGGATTCTGTAGTTCTGTGCCTGACTATCTGTAAAAGCAGAACGTGTTCTACCTGGAATGTTGCTGGAATGATTGTATGATAGGAAGAATAAATCAGGAAGCTCTGAGGTTCCTTCCATTCACCCTAGTTCCGAGAAAAGAAATAGAACATTCAGGGAAGAGACGTTCAACAGCTTAAGAAGCAGAAAAAGAATCTAGATCAGTAATTTAATCTACCCTTTCCATTATTTCCATTGGCTGAACCCAAAAGAAGCTAGAAGTAAGGGGGCCTGGATGAGGGGCTTGTGGGCTGTCTTGGTGAACAGAAGTGGAAGGATTAATGTTCTGTTTCCACAGTGTATCCCAAGTTCAGATCTTAACCCCAGAGGGCAGATTGGAAATATCTTATTAATATGGTTGAAATCAGTATCTATTAGGATAAAAATGTATGGCCTCTCAGATTGTGCCCAAGTTCATAAAAATCTAAAACAAACAAACAAACCTTCATTCCTAATCATCTCTTTTGGAGAGAGACAGCAAACTGTGAAAGTTAATATGTTTTCAAAAATACTTAGTAGTCGCCCTCCACAAGAATATATGAGCAGTGTATATGGTGGTGGATGCCTTTAATCTCAGCACTCAGGAAGCAGAAGCAAATGAGTTCAAAGCCAGCCTTGTCTACATAGCGAGTTTCAGAATACCCAGGGCTATGTAAAGAGTAGTGTCTCATAATATATGAGCTGAGCTCAATGAATAAACCATGGGTCTGAATGGGAAGTCACTAAGGGAAAAAGAAACAATGCACACACACACACACACACTTCACCTCTGGCTGTAGGATCATACACATTCATAAGCCAACATTCTTCTGTATTCTTTGCAAATGAAATATTCCTGCTTCCTTTTCATCTTAATGGAAAGGTCTCACTCCTGTCACACTGCTGTACCATCCACAGCAAAGGATTTAATATCGGGTATCATGGTCTCTGATAACATTAAGACGTGAAGTATGCACATTGAACTTCATATTATAGACATGGTGTGTGTATTGAATTTCAGAGCTTAACAATGAATTATGGAACTTGATTGGCTCAGAGGCAGATAACCCTTGAACCCACTGATTAATCTTCAATCAGACATTAACATTTTCTCTCACATTGCAAGGAAGACACATCAACACTGTGAACACTCTTAACCTTGACATGTTTAACCTAACTCTCACTATGAGGAAATAAGCAGAAAGTATTCCTTCAGAATGTGGGCACACTGCCATATTAAAACCAGCTTGAATTTGTTTAGTAAAGCCAGTCATAAAAGACAGCCCACACACACACACACACACACACACACACACACACACACACGTGCATGCAGCGGGGGGTGGGAGGGAGGGTGATAACCCATTAATGGAAATGAAAATAATGGCAATTAAATGCAAAGTGTAGTTTTTGATTATATCATAGATTTTTTTTTTTTTTTAAAGAAAAATCAACTACAAAGAATTTTTTGAGGCAGAATTTGAACCATGGGTTGTCTTATCAAACATGCACAGCATTAATGTTCTGGCTCTGTAGTTGATGACATTGAAGATGAGGAGGGGTATGAATGATAAGATATTTTAAAACTTTATGATGACTGGAATTTGTTTTTGATGGTTCTGTAATGACTGCATTTATAGTGAGAAAGAAAATGAGGTGATATGCTAATGCTTGGTACACTCAAGAACATTTATAATCTTTCAACTTTGAATTTTCCCAAAATTAAAATAAATGCAGAAAAGGAGAAAGAATAAGGTTAGGAGACAGAAACAGGCCTGGATCTGTCCTAGAGTTTGCAAGGATATCCCATTCACAATACAGATGTATGGAAGATAGGGTCAGGCTGAAGGCTTAAAAGAAACTCGTGAGGATTTTATTTTTCTTCAGAATTTGCTAAACAAAGTTCTGTAGAAAGATGAACACCCTGTACTTTAAAAAAGCAGAGCAGCCGGCTAGACCTTAAGAGCTTATTAGTGCAATTAGCAATACAAGCCAGAGAAGATTGTTCCAAGAATTAAAAAATAATTGGATGTCTTAAGCTAAATGGAAATTTCATATACACAAATAATTGGTAGGAAATAACTTTAGAAAGAAATGACAAATGTCTTCAAAGTCGGGCTTCTCCTGGGACTAAGCATTACTGAAATATAGGCACAAAGGGGAGTAAGTCCTTCAGTTGTTAAAGGCACATAGCTGCACACACTTCCCAAGGCCTTGTGGAATGACCTGCCATTTCTCAGGGCCACCATCCTGCCTCCCATGTGTGTTATTATAGCTGGGCCCTTAGATAATACTTTTAGCCCAAAGTGATATTGACAAAACCCAAAACAAAACCAAACAATCCCCCCCCCCAAAAAAAAAAAACAAAACAAACCAAAAACAAAAAAAGCAAACCAAAACCCAAACCCAAACCAAAAAAGCATTGCTTATCTTGGCCTCTAAACATTACTTAGGGAGAAAAGAAAAAAAGTTGCTGTAGGTTGGAGCAAGCCAGTACCATCAAAGTGGTAATGATGGTCTCACAAGACATCCACGCACAGGAAGGAAGGGTTGTTCTGCACAGTTCCATCATGCACAATGTCACTCAGTCCATACAGTCAGCCTTTTCATCATTTAGACAAAGATGTCATGCTTTCTAGGCCTTTGTGGTGGCCACAGATGGCTTTAACATATTAGGTATACTAAGTAACATCAGATTAACTTAGTCATCTTTTGTTATTACTTTAACTGCAAGAATACATTCATATCTACTTCCCTTCACCAACTGACACTTTACTGAAATCAATATCATGGGAAGTAGGGTACTTCTTAGTCAAGCTGTTAGAACCACAGTTTTGTCAATGAATCAGAGAAGGCAACATTTCATTTACTAAACCTTCTAAAGGCAAGAGAGAGCACAGAATGGTATTCTGACTGCTGGAAGGGATAAACTGAATGGATAACAGGAAGACCTTGGTGACCGTAGCACTCAACAGAAATTAACTCTGTGTCATCGTCTGGTGGGATGACTGGGGAGAAATAAGGAGAGAATGAGGAAGAAATGTAGTGATAATAGGGAGAATAGGGAGGGAAAGTTGGGAGGAGAGAAAAGGAAAATGGGGAGGAGAAGAATCTCTGCAGTCAAGTTGGAAAGGCCACAAGTCGAGTAGTTAATCTACATGTACCAAATACCAACTGTATTTTTCTCTTGTCACTGAGACCCTAGTATTACTCTGTGTAGGGACAGCTAGGACTCACTACCCCTTAGCAAACACTGCACTAATCTGGCTCAAGGATCCTAGAGGTCATTTTTAACTTTATCTTTCTCTTCTGGGAAATGGGAAAGTTTATCTCTAATGGAAGAGTCTAGAAATGGCTGTGGCTATGAAAAATACCTTCTGACTAGGGCAAACTGCTAATGCACCAGCTATATTTCCAGTCACCAGATTTTTCCCGTTGTTAGCATGTGAATGCCTGCCTGGGGCATACATCATGTAGCCATTAACTGGCCCCTGGTGAAGCCACCTACAAGGTGAATGGTGGATGGTTCCAGAACTGCAGGCCTTTCCTTGTCTCAGTCCCCAAAGCCCCAAAGCCAGGGCTCAACGGCTTAGGGAAATTGTGGAGAGATGGCATAGGAAAATGTACCACCTAAACGTTCTCCAAATTTGCTTGGTACTTAGAAAAATAAGTGACAGAGAACTGAGTCAAAAGCCTAACAAGAACCACTGCAACAAGCCTCTCAGTCTTGTAACCTGAATTCCAGTACAGCCTAGGGGGCAGCTCCCAGGCAGAAGCGTGCCACGGGCGAAGGGCAGCAGCCTCTCCTGCACTGTCCTCAGCCGAAGGGGTTAAGGCTGGTCCTTCGTGCTGCGGTCTGCATGGCCCGCAGGCTCTGGCTAGCAGCACTTAGAGGGTAAGAGCACATGGAATGGGTAGGAGATGTCTTTCAGAAGTCCTGGCGGGGCTCCGGCGTTCCTGCTCCTGGAAGTAGGGATCATGTCAGCCAGGGAGGACCACTTCTTGTCCCGTGGGGACTCTTGGGAGAAACAGGGTTCCTTTCTTCTGGAAGATGAGGCGGGGTGTTAGTGACACATCCTGGTTGTCATCTCTTTCTGGAAAGCAAGGAGAGAACGGCTGTTAGGGGACAGTAAGCAGAGCCATGATGGAGATCGGCCAGGTGCATTTACCTGGAACTTTTAAACCAAAGTTGCAAGGCTGGACCATGAGAACACATTCTTTCATTTAGTCATTGGCTTTTGAGTGTTCTCTCTCTCTTCCTCCCTTTTTCTCCCTCCTTTCCTTCCCCTTTCCTCTCATTTTTAATTCAAGAGAATTAAAATGTTTAAAATATTTTACTTTTTTGCCAAGAATCTAAATTACTTGGTTTCTCTGGGGGCGGGGGAGAGGAGCAAGATCTGGAGCCACGGAGCCCTTGGAATTGAATAGCAGCCCTCCCCTCTGGCTGGAGAATGGTCTCCAGTGTTCATCCCCACTCCTTCCAGTTGTCTGTCCAAGGGCAGCCAAGAATCAGTTGCCAACTGGTATAATAATAGGTTTGGGCTACTATTTCTAGAATAGAAGCATCTTTCATTTTCCCATCTTTGATTGAGAACTTAGTCAAATGGAAGACGGGAAAATGAACGTAACTGTGTACAAGTCAAGAAAAGCAAGGAAGAGGAACCACCACACTCTGGCCTGCACATTATCTTTGCACGCTACTTTCCTGGGTTTTATGGGAAATTGTGGATCCCAAATGTGCCATCCTTTGTCTTCCTTTGAGACCCTGCACTGGCTGGCCTCTTCATACCCCATCCCATCTCTACCCTCTTTACCTGGCTAACGCCATTTATCTTTCCAGTTCAGACATGATGGCATCCATTTGACTGGAAGCCTTCATCTCCATCTTTGGAGGTGACCATGCCTTTCGCCTTTGCACACCCTGACTTTTGTATAGGGTATGCTGGCTCTGATTGGTAGTTTCAATGGTAACGACTCCCATAGGCTAGTATGCCCGAATACTTTGTCCCAGTTGGTGGCACTATTTGGGAAGGGTTAAGACACATGGGGTGGTTGGAAGAGGTGTTCCCACTAGACTGACCATCACCCCAGGAGCTTTTATCTTTGTATTCCCACTATTTCCCACAGTACTGATGCAAGGGAGCTCTTTCTTTGATCTCTGAGAACAGTGTGGGCTGAAGGCTGGAAAAGAGCCTTGAACATTATCATTTGAGGAAGGAAGACTAAGTACTTTGAATTAGATGAGTAAGATGTGTCTGAGTTCCACTTGCAGAACTGACTGCAGCTGCTCTGTCTCCTGAATGCCGACCAGAATCATCCCAGGCAGCCAGACACACAGCAAACATCTGAGTTGAAGGATTTAGTGGGGGAGTGCCCTGGTACCCAGAACGCTGTTTAAAAACCATACAGACCGTGAGGGTTAGAGAAATAGTCTACGTACTGTTGCTTCCCTTATTAAACACGGGCAATTTCGCCCTGCACTGTGGTCAGCGCACGAATTCATACCCTGAACTAACGATCACTTACCTCGTGCTTACCGCTTGAACCACATACCACGAGATGGCGCTGATGTTCTCCAGCACCCACAGCCTTCTGGGAAGAAGGGACGTGGTGGGCTGAAGTATCGCTGCAAGTATTTTCCAGCAAAGCCACGGAGCGTGTGGCAACCAGGTTCGCACAGGCGTCACGCACTGCAGTCTCACTTGTGGCCCCTGCTGCCCACCCACGTGAATTCTAAGCTCAGCATGTCTTAGGTGACAGGCTTGTTTCAGGAGACATCTGCGCTAACTCCAACACAGGGCGGTTCCTCTCCTCCACCCCCACCCTTTCCCAGCCTATCGCTTCATTTCTGCCCCTTGGATGGTCCGGGGCAAGACCCCACAGACTCCAGGAGAGCAGGCCTACACCTGCTGTTTGCCCTTGCATCCCCAGTGCCTCATAACCCCCAGGTAAAATGAGTATTTGCTTAATCAAGTAATGAGCGGGGCCTCAGTCTCTTCCCTCGCAAAAGGTGGTGTGCCAGTGAGCAGATCAAGGGAAGCATAAATGCATTAATACACGCTGGGGCTCAACACGTGAGCATCGCCGTCTTTGATCCCGTATAGAGCCATGGCTCGGAAGCACAGCATGACCTCAGCGTCTCCTCGCGGGCAGGAAGCGGCCTGGGAATACCCACCCTGACGTGATCTGCAGACCACCCGCAGCCGAGAAGTAGATCGGCTCAGGGGTCTGGTGTTTCCGTACTGGAGCTGAGGCAGGAGGACTGTGAGTTTGAGGCTAGCCTGGGGTATAAACAAACAAGGAAACAAAAAAACAAGACCAACGGCTCTTGTATTTGGAGTTAAAGTTTGACAACAGATTGTATATTTGAGAGGAAGAGAGTGATTCCCAGGGTAGACACGACTTCAGTTTTGTAGCTAATTCTAACGCTATTTGCAGTGTGTCAGTGCCCCAAGAAAGGAAGGAAGGCGCTTTTGGTAAGAGCCCACGAGGCGCTCTGTGCTTGGGGCACCTGTGTCGTGTGGGAACTGCAGCCTAAGCAGGGACGGGCCCTAAAAGGCCGGGGGTTCTGCTCACACCTGCGGCTCTGCAGGTGCACCCTGCAACCCTGCAGCCCCGAGACGCATGTGCACTGCAAGAGGTCTGAGAGAGGAGAGCCACCCGGCCCATGCGAACGTGGAGGCCAGGCCTTCCACACAGCACGGGGCTTTACCTGAAAGCCCCCCGAGCCAGAAATAAATATGCATTTGCGTGATAACTTGGAAATTAATTGACTCATATACTAATTGTAGATGGTGGCAGGTCATTTCTGAATTTTCTAAATGCTAGAGGTACTTTTTCTTCAGCTAGACTGATCTCAATTTGAATTAGTAGTTGCAATAGAAAAAGCGTCAAGATGATTAAGTTTCCTACAGTATGGATGCTAAAAATACGGAGGATAAAAGTGAGAGGGTGAAGAGTCTGTCCTGGAGCTTTCTTCAGTGTGAGCCCCAACAGGAAGAAGAAAAGCTGTTTCTGAGATGCTGCTCACATTCCTATGGGGAAGCATGGTTTAAAGGAAGGACATTGTCCTGGGATCTACCCTTTGCAAATACATAGGCCGGGCCAGGAAGATGGCTCAGCAGGTAAAACAGTTGCTACCACACTTGAAAATGGGAGTCCTAGACTCATGCTGGTAGGAGAGAACCGACTCTCTCAAGCTGTCTCTGACCCCATGCATGCCACATCCTCACACCTGATTTTCAAAAGCACAGGCTCCCCTTTTCCCCCTACTGGGTTGCCTTTCCAGCCTTAATGAGGGGATGCACCTTGTCTTACTGCAACTTGACTGTGCCATGTGTGGCGGACATCCTTGGGAGGCCTGCCCTTTAGTGAAGGGAAGAGGAGTGGACCCAGGGGAGAGAGGAGGTGGGGGTGGTACTGGGAGAGGAGGAGGGAGGGAAAATTGTGATAGGGAGTGACCTATGAGAGAGTTAAAAAAAAAAAAAAAGTGTAGGTTCCAAGGCTGTATTCTACTATATTTCCACGTGGTGGTGCCATCAAACCGTTTAAAGAAATAAAGCATACCAAGGCTTTCCTTGAAGAGCCCTCCTGCAGGCTACTCTAGCAGGGCCAGAGACATTCCTCCATTCCTTCCTCCAGGGGCGCCGGCTCAGTATTTTCCCTACAGGACTCCTTTAAGACTGGAGTGCCCAGCCAGCTGGACTGGTCAGCAGCTCCCACAGCACAGGCCACCGAGTGGGTTAGAGCCACCACTGAGTGGTCCTGGGCTCCTCTGTAGGCACCCGAGCAAAGAGGAAAAAGGTGGAAGGAAAATAAAGTTCCTAAAAGCTTAAAAAAAAAAAAAAAAAAAAAAAAAAAAAAAGACCACCTATATGTAAGGCTGGCAGCCCAAACTGGACTCATGTTTAGGGTGATTTCTGCAGGTGAGAGTTTTCTAAGAAGTCTCAGAAGAAACAAGCCAAGAAACTGTCCTTGGCTTGTTTATGAAAAAACAAAAACAAAAACAAAAACAAAACCCTGCAACAGTTGTAGTTTTTTTTTTTAAACGACTGTAGGCATAAACACATATTTTACCAGAGATTCATGCACACCTGTGCCCATTGCTGCTCTATCTCAACAGCGAGGAAACGGAACCAGCCTAGACGGCCATTAACAAATGAAGGGGCACATCATGTATACAATGGAATTTTATTCGACTGTAAAGAAAAGTGGCGTTATGAAATTTGTAGGAAAATGGATGGATCTGGGAAGCGGTTATGCAAGATGTCAGAAAGGCAAAAGCTACATGTTCTTCTTATAGACAGATCTTAACCTGTAGTATACAAGTGTGTGTGCGCGCGCGCGCGCGCGCGCATGTGTATACACACATATGGACAAAGTCTAAAAGGCTGGAAAGGACACACCAAGGGTGGGTAGTTGATCAGGAGGGTTATGGGTGGACAAAAGGCCACACAGGAATGGCGATGGGGAGAGGGGTTACAAGTGAGGACCTGGAGCAGCAAGGAAGCTGGGAGATGTAAGGGGGAATCTACTAACAATTTTGTAGTAATGCTCATTTAGAACATTAACATATATCTTAAATGTACTCTTGTGGTAGAAATAAAGCCAGGCTTTGATCGGTCACTCCCAGCAGCCTCATTCTCCACAGCCAACAACCAACTTCCACATTCTTTGGCAGTGCAGAGGAAGCTGGTCAAGGCGGGTCTCAGCAGCTTCGGTGAAAGGCTGCTTTTCACCAGACAAATTGCCAGGCCAGGCCAACCAGCTCCCCCAGGTCTCCACAACGCCAGTTCCTTGGGGTTTCTCACAGGCTGTTTGCTCTAGCCAGTAAATGTGCTCCGTTCCTCTATGCCTGGCAGATTCCCACAGTTGACATGACCCCTGAAAGCATTATTCGCTGCATTCTGGGTCCCCATTGCCTGGCTTTCTGCTAGCATCGGAAATTCATTACATGATTAGCCTCAAGCCGAACTGCGCCTTAGTGTATATTGTGTGATGAATGATATTTTCTCAAGTCTTACACAGTATATGTGGTTTGAGGCAGTTAAATACAACTTATGTCTAATATGAGTTTATAGCTGGATAAATGAAA